GGGGGGCGAGGAAGAGGAGGATGAGGAGGGAGGAGGAGGGGGAAAGCGGAAACAAATGAAAGCGGACAGACCGCTATAACAAGCAAATCTGGCAAACCCCAAGCGGCCAGGCCGCTGTAGCAATATTGGCGAACGCATGCAAGCAGACTGGCCGCTATAGAAAGCATCAAGCAAAGCGGTTAGGCCGCTGTACCAAACGTGGGCATGCTGAGATGATGCAAGCTTGCGTGCAGATGCTCGTGTACGGCCAGGGCTGCTGACGCGCAAACGCAGCGATGAAAGTCTGAGCTCTGGCGCGATCACTTCGTCGAGAGAAACTCGTGGCCACTGGGCACGTCCACGTTGGCCTTGCTGCGCGCGTCTTTGCAGGTCTTGATGGCCTGCAGGCTGGCCCGCCTTCCTTCCCTGTGCGCTCCCCTGCGCCCCTCTGCATGCACTCCCCTACTCCCCGACTCTCCCCTGCACTCCCCTACTATCCCCTACTCGCACCTATCCTCCCCCTACTCTCCCCTGCACTCCCCTTTCTCCTGCTGCTGCTGCTCCTCCTCCTCTGCTGCTGCTGCTCCTCCTCCTCCTCCGCGAAGTTCCCCCCCCCTCTGATGGAAATGCCTCCTTCTTTGTCGCCTGCTTCGTCTTCGTGGTGCACGGGGAGCTCATGGAAGCCTGCGTGTCTGCAAGGTCCATGAAGCGGACGAGGAAATTAGAACGCGTTGACTCGTCGTACACGCGCGGCAACTTCACGGAGCCAGCGGCCGCTGGCTTTTTCATAACGGGTTTTGCAGCCTTCTTGAGCTCAGGGGGTTCGCCATCTTCCTTCCTTGCCCTCTTGCGGTCGGCCTTCTGCGAACCGTAAGCCTCTGTGATCCTTGCTGCTGCTTCGGCTACGGTCAGCTTGGGCTCGGAACCCGTCAGGGCGTTAACGGCAGGCGCCGCTGGTGCTGCTGGCCCGTCTGCGAACGGTGCTGCAGCTGCTGCTGCTGCTGCTGCTGCTGCTGGTGCGTCTGCTTCTGGTGCTGCTGCGGACGCTGATGCTGATGCGCTCGGTGCTGGCGATGCTGCTGCAAGCGCATTTGGCCCTTGGGGAGGCGTCAGCGCTGCAAGCGCACCTGGCGACGCGGCAGGCTGGGGTGATGCAGCAAGCGCTGCAGGGGCCGCTGCATGCTGCATTGCAGCGCTGGCCGCTTGAAAAAAGCTCGGACTTTGCGCCATCCCGCTCGGCAGCCCTGTGAGAGATTGCTGCAACACCTGATGGAGCACCTGCTGGATCTGCGACTGCATCGGAAGCAGCGTCGGCATCATCGACGTTACCAACTGCGCGACCATCGCAGGCGACGCGTCCTGGCTCGGCGGCAGTTGCTGCTGCTGCTGCTGCTGCTGCTGCAAAGAAGGCCAGTGTGGAGAACCTGCAGGACTCTGCTTCGAGACAGCTGGCTGCGCCCCGCGGATGCTCCACGAGGAGCTCGCAACGCTTGCGGGCCGATATGAACGATGGCGCATCTTGGTAGTCTTCTTGAGGATGTTCCAGCCGACGGGGTCGAGATCGAAACGCTTCGGCGGGAACGCGCTGCACGCTCGCTGGTACTCAGTGGGATAGTCGTTCGCCAGGTCACTAGGCACCGTCGGCAACTTCATGATGACAGGATTGGGGGTCGTCCGCTGACGCGTGGCCACCCTCTCCGCGAATAGCGTGCCGACGGCCAGCACAGAGTCCGTCCTTTGCGCAACGTCAATCTGAAGTGCGCCGTCAAGACCCCTCCCTGCTTGCATGAGCAGGCAAGCCATCGTCTGCTTCGTGGGCTCTGAAGCTCTGCGGAGGCCGAGGTCGATCAGAAAGTCGAAGAGGGGGTTGGGATCCCCTGTCGGCAGGGAATCCCAGATTGCCTGGGGCAAGAACTCGTGGAGCGACTCCCAGTCCTGAGGGCCAGCGACGCAACTGGCAGACTCGCCGTTGCTAGCCAGCTCCGAGATGCAGGTGTCGAGGGCTGCCTTGTCGGCGTCGGCGAACCGTGGCTCCGCGATCGCCTGCAGAATCGGCTGAATATCCTCTGGAGGCAACCTCGCCTTCTTGAGCTCCTTAACCACCTGCCCCGCTTGCGCGGCCGACACCGCGGCAACCTGCAGCGGGTCGCAGATCGACTGCAGGATGAAGCCGACTGCGGAGATGCGCCGCGCAATCGCAGGGGCGTCCATCCTGCGGCGCAACCGTCAGCGGCGACAATAGCCGCTCTTGAGCCGTCGCGCTTCGCGGCTGTGTGCGTATGCTGCGGCGCGACGCTTGGATGGAGAGAGGCTGCGAAGCGGTCAGGCCGCTGATAAGAGGGGCCGTTCCTGGTCTTGCTCCTCCTCCTCCTGCCAGCTCCTCCTCCTCCTCCCCCACCTCCCCTTCATCCTCCTCCTCCTCATCTTCATGTGCTGCGCGCAAGCAACAAGCGGGCATGCCGCTGTGACGCCCAAAGCGACGAACAAGCTGCGTGAACCAAATAGTAAAGATTTAGCGGTCTGACCGCCGTTGCAAACAAGGGCGCGCATACGCACGTTAGCGGTCAGGCCGCCGTAACAACTGAAGCGGCCAAGCCGCTGCAACGAGCAAGGACGATATTGCGTGATATGGAACGTGAAACCAAATGCAAAGCGGCCTGGCCGCTGCGGAGACAAACTGATACTATGCAAAGCGATCTGGCCGCTGTAGTATACATGGGGGAATAGAAGAGGAATGCAAGATCTGGCCGCTGTCGAATACATGGAGAAATCGAGGAGGAATGCAAAGCGGCCTGGCCGCTGTAGAAACCATGCAGGAATAAATGAGAAAGAACGAGAAAATATGCGAAGCGGTCTGGCCGCTGTAGAAAGGTACGAGGCACATCATAGAGGAGGAAGAGGAGGTATCGAGCGGATGAAGAGCGGGATCCCCCCCGCGGCGGCTCGCGCGGCATGTGTCAGGATGTCGAGCTGCAGGTAGTAGAAGCCGACCAAGAAGAACACCTCCTCCTCCCTCCTCCTTCTCCTTCTTCTCCCTTGGAGCACAACGTTCTGGCGTCGGTCAGACTTGTTTCAATGTCTGAATTTTCAAAAGTAAAGAACAAGGAAAAAGAGCGAGAAATAGTGAAACATAGTGAAAAATAGTGGGAAATCGTGATAAATAATGAAACTAGTGAAAATAGTAAAACAATAGTGAACAAATAGTGAAAATAGTAAAACAATAGAAAAACATACATATGTTTAGGGATTCCAAGTTCAGCTGATGATAGGACACTGTAAGCTCCTATAGATCCTATAGTGAAGCACAGGGGGGACTATCGGGGACTACACTATCGGCATTCCTATGGAACCTATTGGGCCTCCTAACCAATCCTAACTCATCCAAACCTCTCCTAAAATAGAACCACTTACCTATACTATAACCACATATAACTTCACACCGCTCAAAGCAGGGGGGGCGCCGGCGGCGGCGCGCACAAGGGGGGGGGGCCTCCTCCTCCCCCTCCTCCTCCTCCTCCTCCTCCTCCTCCTCCTCCTCCTCCTCCTCCTCCCGCCGCCTCACGGGGGGGGGGGGGGGGGGCGGCGAGGGGGGCGGCAAGCGCGGGGCCTCGCGGAAGGGAGGCTCGGGCGTTCACGGAGGGGCCCGGGGCTTGGGGGGGGGGGTCTCCGAGGCAGGAGGGCGTCACGCCAGCACCAGCCCCGGCCGGGCCATGTCGTGTGCGGGCCTTCCTCCGGCCCAGGCCGGGAGGTCTGCACACGGACCCGCCGGGGCCCAGGAAGTGCCCGGCCAGGGCTGGTGCGGTGCATTGCTGGCGCCCCCCCGGCAAGAGGCCCTGTGCCTCGTGACGAGCGCCCCCCCGGCAAGAGGCCCTGTGCCTCGTGACGAGCGTCTCCCCCCCCCCCCCGCGTGCCGCTCCCCGTGCGCCCCCCGGCAAGAGGCCCTGTGCCTCTGACGAGCGCCCCCCCCCCCCCCCCGTGCCGCTCCCCGTGCGCCTCCCCCTGGCGCGGCCGCCGGCCCCCGCTCTGCCAAGGGCCGACAGGACCGGGCACGCGCCTCGGAGCCACAGGCCTGGGACATCCTGAGGGACGGCCGCATCAGCACGTCTGCCGGAGCCTCCTCCTCCTCTTCTCCTCCTCCTCTTCCTCCTCCTCTCTCCTCCTCCTCCTCCTCCTCCTCCTCCTCCTCCTCCTCCGTCCTCCTCCTCCTCCTCTATCCTCCTCCTCCCTCCTCCTCCTCCACTCTCCTCTCCTCCTCCTCCTCCTCCTCCTCTTCCTCCTCCTCCTCCTCCTCCTCCTCCTCCTCCTCCTCACGCGGTTCATCAGGAGGGGGAAAAACACACAGACACAATTAATCGGCGATTCCCAGAAAATATGGGCAGTGGGGGGGAAGACAGAAGCCCAGAAAATATGGGGAAATAGGGGGAATCGTTTTATTTGTGTGTATTTCTTTGTGTGTCCTGGGGCCCCTTCATGTTTGGGAATCAAGGCCACACTCTACAAACTAGTTCGCGCCATGCGGGGGGACGGGAGTCGGGGGCACCCTCTCCTCCGGCCCGCCCGGCCGGCCCCCCCCGCGTGCAGAGGCCAGAATTAGCACGGCCCCAGACATCCCCCCCCGTGGCATCCCTCGGACGTGTGTCTTTTTCCTTCGGCGAGGACCATCGAGGAGCATCCTTGATCATTTGGCGAAAAAGCCACGCACGAAACCGAAAAGAAAAAAACACAGGGAAGGGACGTCCGAGCGATGGCCAGCCCCACAAGGGCCCAGGATGGCTGGAGGTCCTCCCTCCCCCCGGGCGGGCCCCAGACCGTCCAAGAATGCAAATGGGTCGTCTTGCGGGCTTCCGGAACGCTCGGGGATGACCCCAGATTGCCTCCAGCCGGTTCCAGAAGCTCCTTGGGCGCGCAGAGAAGGCATCCCGAGGATCCCCGAGAGGGTGCCAAGAGGCAAGCACAGTTGATGTTGGTTTGGTTGTCTACGAATTTAGGCGTTCTCTCGTTTTTTCCATCTTCCGACCGCCCAAGACGGGCCAAGAGGCTCTCAAGAGGGCCCCAAGACGGTCCGTAGCCATTTTGACTCAAGCCGTTTTGGCTCAAGCCGTGTTGGCTCGATGCAAGGCCAACATCCATAATACATATCAGGTCGACAGTCCAGGGCCTGCTTTTTCCTTCTTGCATCTAATCGGCGCGATGGTCGGAGAAAGCTTCCCAGTTCTTCCGGCTTGGTTCTTCTACATTCTGTGGGCGTCGGTCACATGTTGTCCATATCCGATCGCAGTCCTGACTGTTGTTGGGGGGAATCCAGGGTTTGATCGAACATCATGCTGACAAGTTCCCCACAGTTGCAAAGTTGAACGCGCCTTTATCACTGGTGCTGTTGGGATTCCTTGGCTATTTGGTGGTACACTCTGTTCGCCATCAGCACAGCACAGCATTGGGTTCTTCGGGCCATCATCGCCATCTACTGTGTCCTCGTGGGTGTTACAAAGACTATGGAGCTTGGATTCCCGAAGGACAGAGCTGAAGAGCAGATGTCATCCCTCAAGGACCCCAGCTACAACTTTTGGCACTTTGGGCTCCACAACTTCTTCACGGCTTTCTTCCTCTTCCTATCGGCCACTTGCCCAGGCGTCTTTCCGAAAGATGCATCGATTGATTTTGGCGGGACGGCTCTTGCAGAGGTACGCGAAAAAGACATTGAGTTTTCTTCGGCACAAATTGTTGTGTTGCTCGGTGTATGTCTTATGTCTTTTGTCGTGGGCATCGGGGTCGGAGGCCGATGGTGCCTTCGACGTGACGTCGCACAAGTTGATGCCACTTCTCTTCTCTTAGCGTGATAAAGTGCCACGGCTCTCTTCGCGTCAACAGCGCCGATAGCGCTCAATAGCGTCATGCCAGGCAGATGCATTATCTCTGCGTTGCGCGCGATTGGGCGCGCTGTTGGGCGCCGTGCGGGCGACCGACATTTTCGTACGCGGCTTTCGAAGGATGGAATGTAATGTTTGCCCTTGCCCGGGAGTAGGAAGAATCGCAGGCTGCAGCTCTACCAATGTGCAGAGCATCTTGGCTAACAATGCAGCATTCGCGCAATCTGTGTCATGCGGCGGGCAGCGTTGACACATCTATCCAGCTGTCTGCGGTAAGCCCGTCACCGCGCCAGGTCAGAAACGCAGCGTGAAGGAGGTTCCTGAAAAAAGAGAGGGCCCCAAGACGGACATCAGCCATTTTGGCTCAAACCATTTTGGCTCAAGCCGTTTTGGCAGGAGCAACTGTGCCTCATGTGGTGAGAACCGGCCTGAGCCGGAAAGCTTGTTCTGCCACCGTGCTGCAAGCATGGTACTCTAAGATTCCGAGGAGGACACAGACAAGCAGTGAGAAATCTGCCCAGTGCCTTTTTTTATGGGGGTCACAACGTGCATTTCACGTTTATGCGAAGTAGCCATTTGATCAGGCTGTCGGGGCTTGTTTATTCTACTCTGGGATTTGAGCTCTTTCCCACTATGACGTTCCAGGTATTGCGTATCTCCTGTCGCACATGGCAGTTCCAAGGCGTCTCTCGATGGGGCTACTTTGCACACTTGCAGCATCTTTTGGAAAGCCAGCATTGTAGTCCTGCCAGAAAGTGTTCTTTGTTTTTTCTCACATTCTGTTCAGCGTGGATGGTCTCCCCACTCTGGATGCGTATAGGGGTGCGCCGCTGTCCGCCTTGAGCCCGAGCATGGGAGGATTACTATAGTTTGGGTTGTTGCGGGCTACAGTAAAGCGTTAATTGGTATAGGAATTATTTGCTTTAGCGCGCTGTATACAAGTACAGCAATCATTGTGACTGTAAGTACAGCAATCATTGCGACGGGAATTAATACTGCAGGCTCAGAGTGTTGAGAAGACAATTTTTGGTTCTGCATTTCAAGAGAGTTGGAAAGGATTTCGAAAACATAGTTTCCCGAGTTAGAAAGGAATTCCTAATGCCTGGGAGGGTTCTGAATCTAAGCTAAAACTCGAAGCGGATTTGTCCGATGAGTGCTAGGACCAGGAACAAAAATGAAAAAGAAAGGAATTGGATAGGGAATTTCCAGGGTTAGAAAGGAATGTCGCATACCAGGGATAATTCTGAATCTCAGAGACAATCGAATCATAATTGCCCGAGAAGCGCCAGGGCCAGGAAGGAGAAAAGAAGTTAGAAAGGAATTGGATAAGGAATCTCCAGAGTTAGAAAGGAAGTTCGACTACCAGGGGTAATTCTGCATCTCAGAGACAATCGAAGCAGACTTGCCCGAGAAGCGCCAGGGCCAGGAAGGAAAAAGGAGTTAGAAAGGAATTGGATAAGGAATTCCCAGAGTTAGAAAGAAAGGAATTTCGACTACCAGGGGTAATTCTGCATCTCAGAGACAATCGAAGCAGACTTGCCCGAGAAGCGCCAGGGCCAGGAAGGGAAAAGTAGTTAGAATGGATTTTGATAAGGAATTTCCAGAGTTAGACAGGAGTTTCGAATACCGGTGGTAATTCTGCATCTCAGAGGCAATGGAATTAGAATTGCACGAGAAGCGCCAGGGCCAGGAAGGAACACGGAGTTAGAAAGGATTTTGATAAGGAATTTCCAGAGTTAGACAGGAATTTCGAATACCGGGGGTAATTCTGCATCTCAGAGACAATCAATCGCCAGGGCCAGGAAGGAAAAAGGAGTGAGAAAGGAATTGGATAAGGAATCCTTGGAGGTAGAAAGGAATTTCGAATACCAGGGACATTCTGCATTTCAGAGACAATCGAATCAGAATTGCCCAGGAAGCGCCAGGGCCAGGAAGGAAAAAGGAGTTTTGAAAGGAATTGGATAGGGAATTTCCAGAGTTAGGAAGGAATTTCGAATACCAGGGATAATTCTGAATCTCAGAGACAATCGAATCAGAATTGCCCGAGACGCGCCAGGGCCAGGAAGGAGAAAAGAAGTTAGAAAGGAATTTGATAAGGAAGCTCCAGAGTTAAAAAGGAAGTTCGACTACCAGGGGTAATTCTGCATCTCGAGACAATCGAATCAGAATTGCCCGAGAAGCGCCAGGGCCAGGAAGGAAAAAGAAGTTAGAAAGGAATCGGATCAGGAATTTCCAGAGTTAGGAAGGAATTCCGAATACCGGGGGTAATTCTGCATCTCAGAGACAATCGCCAGGGCCAGGCAGGAAAACGGAGTTAGAAAGGAACTGGCCCTGGCCTTGGCGCTGGCGCTTCTCGGGCAACTATGATTCGATTGTCTCTGAGATGCAGAATTACCCCTGGTAGTCGAAATTCTTCGCTAACTCCTTGGAAATGCCTTATCCAATTCCTTTATAACTCCGTTTTCCTGCCTGGCCCTGGCGACTGTTTCTGAGATGCAGAATTACCCCTGGTATTCGAAATTCCTTTCTAGTTCTGGAAATTCCTTATCGCATTCCTTTCTGACTCCTTTTTTCTTCCTGGCCCTGGCGCCTCTCGGGCAATTATGATTCGATTGTCTCTGAGATGCAGCATTACCCCTGGTAGTCGAAATTCCAGCCGAACTCTGGAAATTCCTTATCCAATTCCTTCCTAACCACTTCTTCCTTCCTGGCCCTGGCGCTTCTCGGGCAATTATGATTCGATTGTCTCTCCTTTGTAATTCTGGAAATTCCTTGTCCAATTCCTTTCTAACTACTTTTTCCTTCCTGGCCCTGGCGCTTCTCGGGCAATTCTGATTCGATTGCCTCTGAGATGCAGGATTACCCCTTGTGTTCGAAATTCCATTCGAACTCTGGAATTTCCTTGTTACATTCCTTTCTAACTCCTTTTTCCTTCCTGGCCCTGGCGCTTCTTGGGCAATTTTGATTTGATTGTCTCTGAGATGCAGTCCTGGTATTCGAAATTCCTTTCCAACTGGAAATTCCGCATCACATTCCTTTCTAATGTTTTGTTCGACGTGGCGCTTCTCGGGCAACCACTTCGAATTCATAACCCTCCCAGGCCGCCGCACTCTAGCTTCGTCGCAGCTACAGCATTCCCGCCGCTAATGATTATTTACTGTAGCACTCTACAGTACAGCTACAGCATTAATTGGCCAGCGAATTATTCATGTAGTTTTCAAACAAGTAGTGTAGTTCTCCAATTTGGCCCGGCTGGTCGATCACGAAAGTAATCTTGGTTCCATGTTCGAGGATGCCATTCCTGGCGAGTGCGTCAGCGGCAGTCAACGGTACTTGTCGCGGGCAGAATACGATTGGTCCGGGGACGGATTGCGAATATAGTGCAAGAGTAGCATGTTGGCGTGGAATACAAGGCGTCAAAGTTTGGGGGCTCGTTTTTTTCCCCCCTACCTAGGCTCTGCCTAGATAGGTTCTTACTCGCTTGGCTTAAAGGGGCCAGGCAGTGCAAACCGCCCCGGGCGGTTCCCCCAGTCCCCTGGGAGCCAAGCAAAAGCAACAGCAAAGGTACAAGCAAACGCGCGGTTCCCCCAGTTGCGCTCCCTGGGTGCCAAGCAAAAGCAAAAGCAAAGGCAAGCATGAAGGCAAAAGCGAAGGCAAAGCAAAAGCATAGCATAGCATAGCATTGCACAGCATCGCATGGCATAGCACCTCATAGCATAGCGCAGCATAGCATAGCATAGCCTAGCCTAGCCCAGCATAGCATTGCGCAGCATAGCATAGCATAGCATAGCATAGCATAGCATAGCATAGCATAGCATAGCGCAGCACAGCATCCACTATTGCTGCTGCTATATGTATATGTGTGTGTGCGCACGTATGTTCCATGCATGTTGTCCGTCTGTGGGCAATCTTGAGCCCTTAGTGGGGCAGCTTGAGCCCTTAGGATTCACGAAGGTTTCGCACATAGCACCGGCCGGGAGACATGAAACCCGACGTATGAACGCATGTCCTAAATGTCTTTCTATATATATATATATATGCAAATATATGTGTATACATACATAACACCCATGTGGAATTCTGCATGTGTGTGTGCGTGTGTGTGTGTGCACCAGCGGCACCGGCGACTGGCGGCACCAGTGTGCACACAGTCTCTCACCAGCGGCACCGGCGACGGATGACTCGATGTCACTCGGATTCGCAGAGAGCAAGGCCAGTGCTGCACAGCCTGGCCCACCGGGAGTCACGGCCATCATTTCAGGTGCCGACCCCAGTACCAATGTTGTTCAACCTGGCTCAGCAGCAGCATCCGCGCCAGCACCAGTACCAGGAGAAGTCGTCGACACCACTACCGCGGGTCCTAGTGTTGCACAACCTGGACCAGGCAGAACGCTGCAGCACTTGTGCACGAAGTACCAGATCACCGCGTTCCAACGCCCCTTGTACATGATTATGAAACTACTCCCGGTTCAGTGGGGTGACCACGCGGAACTCTTGCTGCGAACGTCCTGGTCGACAGCCTGGGATGGAGGCAAAGTCATCAACGCCTTGCTCTTTAACGGGGAGCGCATCGTGCCAGAAAGCGCTGTTGATATGCGGAGGAACGCTTGGGATCAGCGCTACTACCAGAGCTGCAGAGCGAATGAGGTGTTTGCTTGCATTCTGCATCACAGCGAGTTCGGTGACCGCCTCTTGCAAATCGGCTGCGAGCACATCCCTGCTCACATGCGACGGCCGATTGTTAACTTGCAGCGTTTCTGCTACAAGATCTGCGAGTTGCGGAAGGGGAACCAGTCACGGCGATCTGTGTACTACTGGTTATTCGACACAGTCCCTGCGCGTCAAGAGTGGCTCGGGCGACTCCACGACAGCGGGGAGGTTGTGGTCGCACCACTCTCGTGAAACCGCATATTCCAGCGCCGATGATGCCCGCCGAAACAATGCTGAACAGCTTGTTGCACCGATCTGCGCGTTGCTGCCGCTGTACAGTTTCGTGGGGACGTTCGGTGTAGCAAGTGTTGCACAACCTTGCTCAATGCCAAATCGTGCGGTGTAGGCCGGGTCAGGAGCATTCCCAAGCACGCCCGGTGAGCGAATGCAAAAACATGCGCGTGTGTGCGTGTGCGTCTGTGCGCAGGCAAAACAAACGCCAAACCAAGCAAAGGCAAAAACAAAAGCAAGGCAACGACGACAGCAAACGCAAAAGCAAAACAAAGGCAAAGGCAAAAGCAAAAGCAAGAGCAAACGCAAAGGCAATGCAAAGCAAAAGCAAAACCTCATGCGAAATTATAGATGTAGATGTAGATGTAGGTGTAGGTGTAGATGTGGATCTAGGTGTAGATGTATACGTAAATGTACATGTCGGTTTAGGTGTATGTGTAGATATATATGGAGATGTAGACGTGAGTCTCGCTGTTGATGTCGATGTAGATGTAGATGCAGGTGTAGATGTAGAGGTATCTGTAGGTGTAGATGTAGATGTCGGTCTAGATGTAGATGTAGGTGTCGATGTAGATGTACGTGTAGGTATAGTTGTATGCTGATGTAAAGAACTCCCCAGTGCCCCGCCCTCATCTCCGTGACTGCTTGCTCGTGCTGCTGTCTCGGCGACTTGCTGCCTGCTTCTGCTGCTGCTTCTCTTGCGGCGTGGCGTCGGTGGTTCTGGCGCTACTACTACTACTACTACTGCTACTACTACTACTACTACTACTACTACCACCACTACTACTCTACTACTACTACTACTACTACTACTACTACTACTACTACTACTACTACTACTACTACTACTACTACTACGATTACTACTACTACTACTACTACTACGATTACTACTACTACTACTACTACTACTACTACTACTACTACTACTACTACTACTGCTGCTACTGCTACGACTACTACTACTACCGCTACTGCTACAACTACGACGGTGAGGAGAAGGAGGAGGAGGAGGACAGCGTTTACCGCTCCTACTAATGCTGCTTTCCTAGAGGCTCCACCTCCTAGGTAGGGTCGCACTGGGATAATTGAATGACGCGCAGCCCAGTGCGCAACCGATCCATGTTTGATGAACTACTGCTTGTCATGTATACTCCATATCGCATTCATATTTGCAGGCGCGATGGGGAGTTAGGCGTGAATGCCCGTGGAACGTTTACCGCGTTCCGTGGGCGTCGGCCCCAGATCAATGGCCCAGGCAACGTCGGAGATTTGTCATCATCTCTGGGAGCTATCATTGGCAAGCTTGGTGAAATCGGCTGCTCCTTGATTTGGTCAATCCCGTTAACCGACCATCGAATCCATCCAGCGTTAACTAGGCGGCCCACCACTACGATGCACCACATTTCCCAAGGCGTCCTTTTTTAGCAGAGGTGAGCCCCACCTTACGAGGCTTGAGGATTGAACAAGTTGTTCGATGCATTGACCATATCACACATCCGCTTTCAATAACTTCAGTCCTTTCTTGGCATTCAGTTAACGGCCAGGGGGAATGTGATTGGGCTCGGGATGACATTCGCGTCGAGTGCAAAAGCGGGCAGCTGGCTTGGGATAGGTATTGGTTTCGGTGGACAATTTCTTTTAGCAGTACCAAGCTACAGTTGTTTGACGAGCTGTTCCTTGACATGTACGCGCCGTGCGGGATACACGTATTCAAGCATGATCGCCATTTTGCGCATTTGGTTACAAATTTCAAGTCTACGGCCCACGCAAGCATTCTGATTGGAAACATGCAATTGGCGCGACTTTCAACAAGTTGTGCAATTCGGGTTGCGTACATTTCGCCTACGTGCATTGGTGATATGTTTCTTCTTCATTCAAAACGCGGAAAGGGGGAGCTCTTGTCCGACAAGCTCGTGATCGACAGTTTGGTGTTGTCGAACGTGACGAGCGTCGACGTAAGAGCGGCAGGCGGCAAACATATGTTCTTAGACGCATTTTAGGGTCAGACGGCAAGGTCGCGTTCGACGTGCCCGAAGTCCACCGCGTCGCCTCTGTGCCCTTGTCATATGCACTGAATTGGCATTTATGCATGACATGACTTCAGGTGGGTCCAGGAAAGGGCCCCGAGCCAGCTCAGCATCGGGCATACATTTGTCCGCACAGCATGGGCACGAGGCTGATATGTCGTCTTCCAGTGCTCCACGACTAATAATCAGGGTGCGACGAATGATAATGCGTCATGCGCATGATATTAATAATCCGTGTAAGAGGGCACATACTAATAATAGTAGTGATACGAACAACACTTTACACATCAGGCCCAAAAATGTCCCAAGCGGACCCCAAGGCGGCCCAAGAAGTTCCCCAGCCCAAGACGCCCCAGGTGATGCCCCCGAATAGCTGGGACAACCAGCTAGCCGCCAAGAGGCCCCATAGGCCCCCCAGACGCGCCCGAGAGTTTCCGAGAGGGCCCGAAGAGGCCCCAGGAGGCTCCAAACATGGCTCCAAGAGGCCCCGAGGAACTTCTCGAGAGACATCCCTAAGTCACCAAGAGTCTTCGAATCAGATCGGCCCCCCCATGAGATCCGGAGGGCGGGCATGAGATCGGGGGGGTGGGGCACTCCCCCTTCCAAGGCTCCCAATACGACCTCGGACAGCCCCCGTCACCTTTCCAGAGTCCCCTGGATTCCCCCAGACGGACGTCCAGTGAGGACGCAGAAACGTTACGGTGAGGACCAAGCAGGATTCATTATCCGTCCCTCCTCCGTGCCTCCTTGTTCCCCCTTGTCCCTCCTCCCTCCTCTCCACCGCCCTGGCATGCTGTGTCGAGCTGTGTCGTTCTTCCTCAGTCTTCTCCTCCTCCTCCTCCTCCTCCTCCTCCTCAAATCGGTCACGGCAACCCCGTGATGTGATGAGCCACAGGCAGTTCCTGTTGGGCTTGCCGAGACCAGCAGTCAACGGCCAGTCGAGGCCGAGGCTGACAAACCGAGATTGCCAATCATCTGGGGAAGGAGGAGGAGGAGGTCTTCCGCTGTCGCTTCCTTCCTGTCAGATTCTACCCTCGCCAGGGCCTGGCGATTTCGTTCACCCTTCCCTCTTCTCCTCGCGTTCCTCGTCGTCCAGATGCATTGTTGCTCAAGTCGTGCCAAGGAACAACACTATGGTCATTGATGTGTTGCTCTCTGTCAGCTGCTCATGAGGCGTTGGGTTGCGTTATTTCCGCTTGTCGCGCTTGCCAGCACCAGGGATGCAGGTTTGTGGCCTGATTGCAGCGTCGAGGAAGTGCACTCCGACGGCCCATTCAAGGAGTTTACTCAGCTTAACGTGACGCAAAACGAGACGCTCATGTTTGTGTCGCATCCCGAGTTATCGAAGGGACCGTTGCCGGTCATGGTTTTCAGCCATGGGGCAACAGGAGAGTATGCTATGTACGAGGCTGCCATTCGACGGTACGTTTCTCATGGCTTTGTAGTGATCTTTCCACACATTAAGGATGCACAGCAAGACACGTCGCCCTTCACGTTGGACCCAATGGGCGGTTTTACCATGAAGGGCTTCTACTACGCCCACTTTGCAAACAGCGATGTGAACTCGCCGCTCCAGCAGAAGCTAGACTTGGGGAATTTGGCTCTCGTGGGGCACTCCATGGGGGCGACGGCCACGCTGATGGCCGCAGCCAAGTTGCCAGAGGGCTCCGCAAAGGTTGCCGTATCGCAGCACCCTGGCGTTTGCGGCCCCTATGGTCCTCCGCCTTGTCTTCCCGGATCTTGTAATGCGACTGCGCTGCCGCGCGTTTCCGCTACCACGCTTGGGGAAGGGTGCGTAGCAATGGTACGGTGGCGCGGTTGTCGCATGGCATGGCTGTAGCGTCGGTCCCAAGGGCATCTCGTGGGGCCTCTTGCGGGTTCCTTTTCTGCCCTACCATCGAGGGCTTGGGAGTCCTGGGGCCGACCATGGGAGTCGTCCAAGCGCGGGCCGCCTGGGGAGATTATCGGGGGCTGCCTGCAGGGTCCTCGGACCGTCCTGGCAGGGGCCTCGGGCCAGTCTCGGCCGCGCTTCGGAGCTGTCGCGAGCAGGTCTTATGGCCCGTGTGGGAGCCCTCTGGAGGAGGCCATGGGTCCGCTGGGCGCCCCTGTCAGAGGGCCCCTCGGGCCGCCCAGAAGCCGTCCAGGGCGGCTCTGCGGGCCTGCGAGGCCGAGCTCCTGTGTTGCTTTCGAGTCCTGGCCTTGACGTGAGGCCCCTCCTTCTGCCTTCCCCCCGCTGTCACTTATCGCAGGCCTAGAGGTTGACACCAACACCAAGATCGGCGGTCTTCCTCCACCGAGGGAAGAAGATCCCGATCTCGGTGATGGTGGTAATATTCTGGCTTCCAAGGTGGCCGAACTATTACCACCAACACCGAAATCTAGGATCGCCTCCCCCCTGTGGAGGCAGCCCTCTGCCTCGGTGTTGGTGCCCATCTCCGGGCCTCCCAAATGAAAGCTGTGCGCGGCCCGCTCAGCTTCGACCGGAAGAGGCTCGCTCTCGACCCGCGGATCCAAAAGTTGCTTTCGAGTCTGGCGGCACCGCCCTTCACAGGCCCGCCCGCCCGTCCCGTCTTCGGATCCGCTCGCCCGCCCCCGGGGTCACCTCGAGGCCTGCCTGCCTGTCTGCCCTCCTCTCTCCCTCCCCCCCTCGCCTCTTCCTCCTCCTCCTCCTCCTTCTCCTCCTCCTCCTCCTCCTCCTCCTCCTCCCTCCTCCTCCTCCTCCTCCTCCTTCCTCCTCCTCCCTCTCTTCCTCCTCCTCCTCCCTCCTCCTCCTCCTCCTCCTCCTCCTCCTCCTCCTCCTCCTCCTCCTCCTCCTCCTCCTCCTCCTCCTCCTCCTCCTCCTCCTCCCCCCCCGCCTCCTCCCCCTCCCCCCTGCCCGTCTCCCGCGCAGAGCGGTTGCCCGCGAGGCGCCCCCGCACCAAAGCGCCCCTTGGCGAGGGTGGTGCCATCCTTTGCACCCGATAGGGGGCACACAAGCGGAGCACGGCGGATGAACCATGAGGTTTTCTCAGGGGCCCGGGTCGTTGGGGGGGTTGGGGGGCGTCGCGTGTACCGCCCTGTCAGGAGAAGCGTGCTTTCCAGCCGCCTCTGCGGGCACGATCCGTGTCCGTGTCAAGTGCGCACTGGACTTTCTTACAAGGGGCGCCACAAGACCGAGGCGCACAGGGTATGGATTTCAACAACTGATTTGGGGGGGCCAGATGCTTATCCATGTCCAGTGCGCCTCGGGCTTCTGGGGAAGGGAGCCCGAAGCTCCAGGCTGCAGTGGCTCTGGACACGCGTCCTGCCCTTGGCCTCGCGTGTCGTCGCCTGCCCACCTGGCGACCAGCGCCTCCTCCATGTTTTTTGCGTGGCTCTGGCGTGCCGTGGTTCTGCCCCTGGGGTGGCCTGGCCGCGTGCAGCTCCGACTCCGTATGGTTGGGCACGGTGTTATTTCATCGCTTCGCTCATTCCGCCGGCCCTCGAGCGCTCTATGGGGCCTCTTTGAAGCCTCTTGGGGGCCTCTCTGGGGCCTCCTGGGGGCCTCTGGGGGGACTCTTGGGGGCCTCTTGGGGCTCCTTGGCGGCGCCTTGGGGCCCCCTTCGGCCTCTTGGGGGGCTCTTGGGGGGCTCTTGGGGCGGGGTAGTCGAGTGCACCCCCCTCGGAGGCCACAATCCTCGTGTTCTGCCTGGGGTGGCCTGGCCGCGTGCGGCTCTGACTCCGTGTGGTTGGGCATGGTGTTATTCGAGCCTGCGCTTGAGTCGGGCATGTCCCTCTACAGGAGGAACGTTCCAGGGAAAGTTGAGCACAGTAGTCTGGGGACGATGTGTCGCGTTCTTTTCGCTATGGTTGAGATTATGGTTGGACTCTTCCTTATCTTTCCTCCAACATCCGCCTGTATGAGGGCATGCCCGACGTGAGCCTGCATTGTCTCTTGTTGGTTGGCCATTTTTGTTTCTTCCGAAATCCGCCTTTAGGAGGTCATGCCCGACCGAAGCCTGCGTTGTCTTATCGACTTCGTCTGACACGAGGCATGATTCCATTTGGTTGCGGACATATGGCAGTGCAACGTTGCCAGGCTAAAGAAGGTTGTGTATATCATTGTGCCCTTTCTGCACATTATCCTCCTGCGTGTTGTTGTTACGTGTTTCTTATACTTCCACTTCTCCCATGAATGTCGATCATCATCTTGCATTCCCGATTTCTGTTTCCTCTGCCTCCACCTCCTTCTCGGCGTTGCCTTATCTCATCTCATTGTCGCTGCACCTGTGACACCAACGTGTCCCCATTCCGTCGGGGGGGGTGCAGGCTTGCGGACACCAGGGTGGGTAACCCTCCTTTGGTCGGGCTTGTTGGGCTCTTCTCCCGTGGTGGCTCGGTCTGCGGGGGGGTGGGGGTGCAGGCTTGCGGACACCAGGGTGGGTTATACTCTCCTTTGGTCGGGCTCGTTGAGCTCGTCTCCCGTGGTGGCTTTGGTCGGTTGGTGCGGGGACGGACTGCTGTGGTCTCGCCTCCCGTGGCATGACCTGGTGCAGCACGGTGCGGCCGCGTGCCATCCGCAGGAGAGCAGATCGGAAGCCGGGCCAGGGCTGCTATATCCGTGGCTGCTAAAATCGACCTCCGGGAAGTTGTCTTCGTCCTTCCGGGAAGAAGCCCGTTGACTGTTTCGCGTGCCGCGCCTCATTCCGGGAAGTTGTTTTTTCCTTCCGGGAGGGCCGTTTTAGCAGCCACGGTTTTAGCAGCCTTCGCCCAGCTTCCTAGAAGAGGCGCAACCACGAGCTCTCGGAGCTCCGCGCCGACCTCCGACGGTTCACCCTCTTACCGTCGGGGCCCCGAAGAAGGAACCCCTTTCGTTGGGGAGGGGCTCGGTGTTCCTTCAATGTTTCACGGCTTGCCTCAGGCTTTCCGTAGGTTTTCGATCGGGCATCGAAGTTTCACTTGTGGAAACAAGGGGCCTCGTTCCTTATGTAGGGTTCCTTGGGTCAAGGCCCCGACTGTGTGCAGTTGTTGTTGATGCTGTTCCTGTGGCACTGTGGTCCGATCGTCGGGCGCTTGTTTCTGTGACCTGCTGCGGCCCGCTGTGGCCAGCCATCTGGCAGGAGTCACGAGCGGGAGTCACGAGCGGGAGCGGAGCGGGAGCGGAGCGGCCGAAAGAACCGCGCCGTGCCCGAAAAGCAGCGTTCTTGTCGGCATCGTCGAGATGCTCTGGCGAGCCTCCGGGGGCCCTGCTCGGCCGTCCCACGGGGGGGCGCCTGCTGCGGTCTGGAGCGTTGTTGTCGGGGACGCGGGCGCCCCCTTTTGGGGGGGGGGCCTCCGTGGAGCGTGTTGGGCCGCTCTCTGGGGGCTCTCTTGGGCTGTCTGCGCGGCTTCTTGCGCACTCCCGGGCGCTTTTGGATGCCTTGTCTTTGACGTCTCAGAGGGAGCCCCTGCGCCGTCTTGGGAGTGTCTCGGACGCCCTTCAGGCTGCCTCGGGGGCCTTTCGGGGTGTTCCTGGGCTGCCTAAGGGGCCTCTTGGACTCTCCCGGCCGCCTCTTGGACTCTCCTGGGCGGTGTCGTGGATGCGTCTTTCGGATAGTTCTGGCCGTCGTGGCCGCCGCTTGGATGCCTCTTGGGGGCCTCTTGAGAGCCGTCCTGAGAGCTCCTTGAGAACGCGAGGCGGACGATGGCACAGGCAGCAGGTCCTTTGGATGCCCTCGTGGGCGCCAGACAGGGGCCAGCACCCACATTGTGCTGCATCATTGTGTTTGGCCTGACGAGCAGTAGTCAGGAGGGAACAAAAACACACAGACACAATGAATCGACGATCCCCAGGAAAATATGGGAAAATATTGGGAAGTGGGGGGGGAGATAAAAACACAGAAAATATGGGAAGATATCGGGAATCTTTTTATTTGTGTGTATTTATTTGTGTGTCCTGGGGCCCCTTTAAGTGGAGCCTCGAGGTCGAGCGGTCCGCCCACGTCGGCACCGTGGGGGATGTGTGCGGGTCTTTAGGGAGGAAGAGAGGCGCCCGGGAGGCACCTCCAGGCCACCTGGAGCCCATGGTGATCTAAACCAAGAAGCACTGCTATTTACGGCCCAGACGGTCCAGACAGCCCAGACGGCCCAGACGACCCAGACGGCCCAGACGGCCTAGACGGCCCAGGCGGCCAGGCGGCCCAGCCGGCCCAGACGGCGGAGACGGCCCAGACGGCCCAGACGGCCCAGACGGCGCAGACGGCCCAGGCGGCCCAGGCGGCCCAGACGGCCCAGACGGCCCAGACGGCCCAGACGGCGGAGACGGCCCAGACGGCCCAGACGGCCCAGACGGCGGAAACGGCCCAGGCGGCGCTGCAACGATGGCCACTTCGGATGGCGCTGAACTGCGGACCACTTCGGGCTCTGGAGGGGTGCTGGGTTTCGGGCCGCTCCGCAGAGCTGCGTCGGGGAGCCCGTTCGCGACCGAGTCTCGCCGCGGCCAGAAGGGCCACTTGGTTCCGTAGTCAGCGCTCTGTGTGGCAGTAGGACGATTGTAATTGAATTGGTAATTGCCCTGACGTGCGCTTGTTGTGCTGGAAGTCCCAGTGGCGGATACTTGGATGCCGCATGACCTCGAGACCGTGTCGCAGAGAATTCCGTTCCTCCTGACGACTGCCACGAACGACGGGGCATTCTGGCCGGCACCGTACACTGCAGAGCACGAGCTCGGTTGTTGGGACGATGTACAACGTAATCGTGCACGTTTTGTTGCTTGATGTTGTTTCCTCATCCTTCTACTCCTCACACTGCCAGGGGCAAAACATCGGTTAGGTTGTACATTTCCCCCACAGGTTGCTTTAACAGCCCGTTCCAGAATCCAGAAGCGAAGAACGCCACCGCCTTTGCGCAGTTCTCTGGATCTGCCTGCGAGGACGACGGGAAGGGGGGCCGCTATGACAGAAAATGGTCCAACGGCGGTCACGATTGCCCCATGAAGACCCAATCACCCGAGACGCCATGGGTGTTGACCGCGGTGAAGCTTTACACCCAGCTTGGAGGTAGCGCAAGCTCTAAGTGCCATTCGATGCTCTGGGGCTCTGGGGCTGACAGCCTTCAGAAAGATTCGAACATTGAGAAGTTTGTGATCCACTCCCCGGCAGATGTTCAAGACTCTTTGCTAGTATAGCTGAGCATCTTACTCTGCCAGTTTTCCACGACAGGCGCTGGCGCGGGTCGACTCTGTCGTTACTCAGCATCACAAGGATGGTGCGACTAGATCAGTTGCATCTCCGAGTGAAGGAAAATACGTTCAATCACAATCGCAATCTTGCGGATTTCCAGACTTGATCACTGTCACATCGTTCCGTCCTTTCGTACCATGTTGCATGCGGCTTTCCCTGCACACCCGAGCCAGAGATTGGGTTCTGAATGCGGAACTCTGGCGGATCGATTTTGCAACGACCGGGTTGCAGGAAAGCCAGAATACCCAGAATCCCTAGAGATACGAGTGTTCCACGGCATGGACTTTGACTGAACGCCAAGCGTCACTGAAT